TCTCGTTTCCTTTTTCCTCATCCCTTCATCTCTGATTTGAGCACTGAGAAAAAAAAGGATCTAAAGGCCAGGCTAAGAGTACTGAAACACAGCTCAAGGCACGATTAAACCATTCAAACATCTTTCTGGGTTTGTTTTTGTTAGAAGAATTCTTGTTGTTCATTAGGCATTCTTTTAATTGAGTAGATACAGACAACCAGCATTAGCATTGCAAATTTGAATAGTAACTTTTTGTTTAACTAAATAGCCGTTTGTTAACCAGGTACAATATTGCAATAAATTGTTTGATAAATTGTAAGTTTGGGTTATGATAACATTAAGTTTTAATTGATCACAAATTAATTTTTGTTTTCAAATCTTGCTTAAAAATGTATTTTAAGAAATAAAAACTATCCGAAAAAAACTATTTGCCAAGCTTTATAGTTTTAAAAATAAATAAATGCATTTTTGATCTGATTATCTTTTTGTTTTTTATAGTGTGGCTGTGTGTGTAGCCGGTTCACGTTAACAAGCACAAGCGTACGACGGAATTGAAAAAAACCGTAGGAAGAAGTTTATCAAGTCAATTGAGACCTGCGACAAAAGACCAAGGCAGCAGCAGCAGCAGCAGCAGCAGCATCAGCAGCAGCAGCAACAGCAACACCAACAGCAACAGCAGCAACATCATCAGACTGCTTTTGGTTGCAATGTCTGAATCATCAGCGTTTGGCAGCATTGTCGTGTGCATGTCGTCGGTATCTTTATCAGGAGGCCCGCAGAAGCTCAAAGAATAAAAAGTAGAAAAACGCAAGGCGACAATATCATCAGCCAGCTAAACGACTCGGGGTCTGCAGTTTTCTAGATTGGCGGACAAAGGCGAGACACAGTAATATCGGAGAGGAATCTAATTTGCATGCAATACGATTTTTGATAAAAGCTTTTACCCCAACATCAAATAAAACGACAATGCAACAGCACACTTTGAATTCGGAGTGTGCAGTCTGCAGTCGGCAGTCTGCAGTCTTGTGTCTTCAGATGTGTCCGTGCTTCTCGCAGTACTCGACTATTCATAAGAATAACAGCCAAAGCCAGATAAGAAAAGCCAAAGCCAAAGACAGATATAGATTGGGTTGGGTGGCTCTGAGGATTGGGGTGTTTTGCGGGTCGGGTGTTGGGTGTTGGATGTTATAGGGGATTTTCGGATGCTTTGCAAGGAGCGGTAAGAACGCCAAGAACGCCGATGGCAATCAAAAAGTGCATTTGCGTGTGCCGTTTGCCGTCGCCTCGAGCTGAGCATTCGAGTACGAGTAGCACGAGGGCATTTGCATGCGAAAGTGCTCGTGCTCGGCTGCAGGTAACTAGTTGCGACTCCCGGAGAGTGCCATGAACTGCAAGTCACAATTTGACACATGATCCATGGCATTGTCGTGTCTGACACGCGTTTTATCTGCGCTCTGGGAATCACGGAGGCTGCGGGGGGCGGTTACGAAGGAGGGGGCGTGGTCGAGGGCTGTGGAAGTGGGGCGTGGGGGCGATGGCGTGCACATGATGTGCATGCATGCGTTTTCCTAAATGATTTCCAAAGAATTTTTATTGGTGAAAAGGGCGAAGCCAAAAACAGCAGCAGCACTAAAACAAATTGTCTATATTTTATTAAATCTTTTATTAAATAAAAAAAATTGGGAACTTAAAATAAAACAATATTTGTTTAAAGTTACCATTTTAAAATCTTAGGGATATAGTCGATGGCCCCAGCAGCTAAAACTTCAAGTTCCTATGTAAGTATTAGTTTTGTAAACAATTCTCAAATTAAAAAAAATATATAAAAATATAAAAAATCGATAGGAAACTATTTCTTTTAATTAAAATCTGTATTAATATTATTAATGCTATTATTATGCATGGAAGCAATAAAGAATACAAACACTTATAGGTTTCTAAAATTGTACAATTTAAGTTAGAGTTTTTAAATACAAAAAAACTAAAAAAAATGTTGAGAAACTAAAATAAAAAAAAAAAACTTTTAGAAAGGGAAAAGTTGGTATAATGGCGGGAATCTATGAATGTTTCTAATACAAATTTTGTAGTAAAGTTTTTCTTGACATCAGCAATTGTTATGGAACACATAATATAAATATCTACAGGAACACATACATTGTATGATTTCTTTCAGTGCAGAAGCATCGTGCAACGACAAGACAAAAACAACAATCATTGGAATGGGGAGCGTAGGAAACTTTATTGGCGTCTTCAAATTGTCAACTCGGAGTTCCGAAGTGTTTTATTTAATGCTTTGTCTCTCATATTTTCCGATGCATTTTGTTGCCCAGCCCGTTGTTTTATCGCACATCTGTAAAAGGGCTACGCCGGCTCTCGGTTTCAGATTCGGATACAGCATATATATGGACTCTATATGTCGGATGGGCAATGGTTATGGGGCCATTGGGCCGGAGTTGAAGTTGAAGTCTATGACGATGGCTTTTTATTATGCGCATTTCGGGTTTTTATGCTTCGGTTCCGACATGTTTTCGTACACATATCTAAATATCGTACTTAAACGTTTACACATGTGATCGATGCGGGGGTGACTGGCAGCAATTTGAAATGGGGAACCGCTCGGCATTTAGCTGGCGCAGTCGAAGTGTCAATATTTTCTCTCGGGAAAGGGTTTTTAATGATGTGGCTGGCTTTATGGGCCATCAAATTATAAAACAGAAAACTTTCATTTATTGCGAAATAGATGATCTTTTTGGCGAGTTAACAACTTATAAATTTAACGAGTACCGTCTAAGTATTTTATTACAATTTCTTAACAGGTTAAAGCTTTCGTTTATTGCGAAATGTTCGACCTTTTTGCCGAAGTGAAAATATAAACAGCTCGAACGTTTGATCTTGGATTTAACCAATAAAATTTAATTTTATTTAAACTGGACCACCAATACCATATTCAAAAGTCGGTATAAATTCAAGCAAATATTATTCCTCTTTTTGCAAAAAATTGGCAATGGCACCAGAAACTTGGCTTATAAAAATAAAAAAACAAAAACATATCTTTAAAAAGAATTCCACCGCTGTTTGTCTCAGAATTCGGAAAAGGATAAAAAACGAAGTCGGAGAATTGGGAATATTTAAAATTCAAACGAAACATAAAAACTTTTCTTTATGGCCGCAATTATAATTTGATAAAGCCGCAATCTTGTGGAACGCACGCGATGGGAGACCGAAGGCCAATTGGCATGACATTCGAAAGCGGCCAAAAACTTTAACCTGGCCAAATGATACTTTCGCTGGCAGTTGCGTGCACCGCCTGTGTGTGCTGCGATTGTGTTGGCCAAGTTGGCCGGATTGCGTTGGGGATGCTGCGGGTATCAGAATACAAAAACTGCCGCCAAGTTCATAACGAGCAATACTTTTTTATTGGCTTTTTCCCAGCGCCAAGAACCCCTAAGGCAACTAAAAAAATTTACATTTTTATTAAAATCTCCTCTTTTGGCAGGCAAACTACACATGCACAGTCGGGCGCACATGTGTGCGGGACCATGGGCGAAATTGAATCGTACTGTGATTTTGGCCAAAGTGGCAGGGCAAAACAGATCACCCATAAGCCAGGCCAAGATATTGAGCGAGGGCATAAATTGGTATTTATTGAACAATAGCAGCGCCTCAAGGATACTTAATTAGGAGTGTGCATTGTGCTCTTAAGCCGGGGTGGAATGCTCCCAGGTAAGTGGCTTAACTTCCATCAGTCATACCGCTATTTTGACATCTGTACACAAGCAAAACAAATTGAGCATTATAATTATATTGGAAATAAATCTTTTGCATTTTTAAAGTTTCCAGAATTCACATTGATTGTATCTACTCAGTCTAAATATGAATATTTATATAACAAATAAATCTAAAGCGTTTGTAAAGTTTCCAGTATTCACTTCTTTTTGGTTTAACACACACAGAGAACACAGATCACAGTAATCCGTAAATAAAGCCACTAATTAACTGCTAGTTTATTATATACATTTTGGTCTCTCTGCCATATTCAAACAGATTGACTTAAATGGTAACTTATATTTACTAAGGGGAATTCGAGTTTAATTTTTACTCGGAACTGAGTTCTTTAATATTAGTGGTATTTTAAATTAACATAGCATTAACTTTGTAACTACATTGTAATAAGCTCAGCGTTCTTCAGATCTTACAAATACATTTTTGAAGGTACACCCTATTGATGAAAATGGTGTGTTCGTTTAAATATGTTTTGAAAACGCAAAAGCTCCGTTTTTGTTTGAGATTCAAGGGTTGAATTATTTAAACAATAGTACATAGATCAATTGTTTAATTTTTAAATTAAACTCATTGGGCTATCATTGTGAAATTCTCGGGAAAATAACCCATTTTCATGTATGATATAAACTTATATTTTTTAAGTATTGACTTAGTGCTTAAACTTTTGGGATTCTTAGTCCTAAGTTTTTTATCGATCTCCATTCAGGGTAATTTCTGTCTGTGTACATATTGGTGGTTTTCCAGCTTCAGAGTTTAAAAAAAAGTCGGTGACTCTGGGGTTTTCGCAGCGAACCCACAGCTGCTAGAATTCATTTCGAACTTTGCAATACATCTACATGTATATGTATAATAAATTTCCATTTGCTTTTGTTGGCGTTAACGTTTAACCCTACGCAACCCGGCAGGCGCCCGGCATAAGTTCAAACTGGTACGCGCCGCCTCAAACATGTGTTTATGGATGCTGTATAGCTGGCCCTATTGCTCCGGTGTGGGTGAGTATCTGGGTATTTGAGTATCTGTGTGCTTTGTTTACATATTATGTACATATTTTTTTGGCCTCTTGTTTTGCACGCCGTCGATAAGCGCGCGCCCTCCTTTCCGCCCACGCCGACCTACCGCCCCCGTCGCCCCCACTCGCCTCAGTTGCTTATCAAAAGTTGCCCAAGCCCAAGCTGTTTACTTGAGCAACAATCTGCTGCCAGAGCTTCAGACTCGGTCCCAGTTCGATACCCAGTCCAAGACTCAGTCTGGATTCCACACTCCACCTCGGAGCGGGTTTTCGGCGCTTAAAGCTCTTAAGACGTTAACGCGACTTTAATATATACATTCACCACTGACGTGCATAGTCATCTTTCCTCGGAAAAGTCTGCGGCGTAACAACTGCTCCCGAAATTGTAAATTCACAATGCGGCACCCAGCTCGATTGATTCCGTTCGGTTTCGTCATCCTGCTTCTCGTGCTGCTTCAGCTTCCACTGCCACTTCCATCGGCATTCGGCCACACACGTAAGCCCTGCCTTCGATGGCAAGCCATTGATTATGGATGTGGATGTACATATATCCACACATTGAAAAACAGAACGTCTCTGTGATATTGTAGCCACCATTGTTGCAAAGCTTACTTCTTTAAAATGTCGTGCCAATTTGATTGGCTTTCGTAGAGAAACAATTGATTTAAAAATTCCACAATCTAAACTTTCATCAATTAAGTAGGCAAAAGTAATTCTTAAAACTACTTACCCGCAAATAAAGCATGTCTCTTATCTTTAGTAAATAAATTCTGTTTTTTTAAATACAAATCTTTATTTATTCTATCTAAAAAAGTAATTTCCAAAAACCAACGTATTTTCATAAATATTTGTACAAGTATTTTAGCTTATTGAACATTGAAATTCTATATCTATTTGCATAGAAACAGAGATAAAAATAATTGTTATTGAACATTCTTATTTGCTGTAGACTTTTGGGACTTTAGTTATTTGGTTTCCTAAAGCGTTTGAAAGCGTTTGCTTGATTGCAATGCACTCTGTGGCAATAAATATAATATTTATTTATTACTACCTGCCAAGCAGTGTTATGATACTGAATGTTTAGGTAATGGTCTACTGGGTTAAAGCAAAGAGGGGTTTTAATGAGCTTAGGAATGACTTTTGAGAGCTTAATAAACGATGGTCTCTATGCAGATTCCATACGTTCTGGCCTAAATTGAATGCTCCAGAGCTGTTATTATCTGATATTTTTGTTTCCCTGTGAAGTGGAGCACAGCTGCCAGACGCCCGACAAGACTGAAGGACGATGTGTGCACTTCAGCGCCTGCCGCCTCGTCCTGCGGCACTATGCGATGTACAAGGAGCACATGCCGCCGGTGATAATGCGATTTTTGCAACGGGCCCGCTGCAAGCCGAAGAACCAAGGCGTAAGTTGCGACGATGTCGATGCCAATAAAACTGTCTGGCAAGAACAATAACCCTCGAATGGTTGTGATTCTAATGAAATTTCGCTTTTCTTCTCGTTTACGTATACATATATCTCCCCTGGCAACATCAAAACATCAACAAAGTATCATTTGTGCTGCGAACTCAAAGATGTGATTCCTGCGAACGCCAACTCCAAGCTAAAGTAAATCAACTTCAAAGTGCAAAGTGCGTCATGTGTTTGGTGTGTGTGTGGGCTTTGATCTGGCAAATCAGTTGGAAGCTTTTTGTTTGGGCCTACAACCAACATGTTATGGCCGGGCATGGCATCGCCTGTAATTATAATGTGTACACGAATTACGTATTAAGTGCGTCTTCCCGTCTCGCCGGGCAACAGATGCTGAGACATAATAAAAAATAAAAAGTTTAGCCTCAATCTTGACAGCTCGCCTCGGCGACGGTTCTGCCTTGAATTTGTGTGCGATTTATTTGGGGCTCAGAGCTAAAACAACATAAGGCTCTGAGCTTGTTGCAAATTTGCAAATTCAACAAAAATTCCTTTCAGACAACTGACGAAAATCAAAAGGGAGTGCAAACATGGGGTTTTATTTACAGAGATTATTATTAAAAGCATAAATATGTTTAAACTTGCAACACCTACTACTGTCTGTACTCGGTCAAAGAAATAAATACTTGAAATACACTTTTCGTCCAATTTGAATGCTGTCAAAGAGTTTCTCTGGACACCGGAAACCCTTCGTTTGACCTGCATCTGCACTCTACCTTATACATTTTAATATTTACCAGAAAGTTAGATTTAATGTTTTCGTCGATGAATTTTTGCTTGTTTAATGTTTAAATTTTCCCCTTTTGCGTCCACAAGGAGGGTGTCCATTACACAATGGCCGCCCTGCCTGGCGGAGTTCATTCCCTGTTAGTTAATTTTGATTTATGCTCGTATCTGGTGTTGAAACAGCCCTCGCCTCCTGTTTTGTGTGTGCCGACTTAAATGTGCCAGATTTTAAGTGACATTCGGGAGACGCTAAAAGGCCGTCTAAAAATCACGCAACATTAAGATGATTTATGCGGAATAATTTCAGTGTAAATGAGGCAGTCTCAGGGGCTGACCGGCCAGCAGACCAGTTAGTGGTTGCTCTGGGTTCTGCAAAGGAGTTGCAAGTGGGTTCGCTGGATTTCGGTCTGGAGGTCTACAGTCTTCTGGCTGGGGCGTTGAAAAGTAGACACCTTGTGCGCGCACGTTGCTCGAATTTCAAGCCGAGTCTGGAGGCTGCAGCTCAGCTCTTGGCGTTGCTGTTGTTGCTGCTGTTGTTGCTGCTGTAGTTGCCATTGCTGTTGCTGTTGCTGTTGGTGCACCATGAACGAATCGCCGCTGAAATTGCAGACAGCGGGCAGCAGATGATAAATGGCCTGAAAACACATTTGAGCTACAGCTCGCCTCTGTAGCCCACTGATGCTGATCTATTAGACAAACGCACGCCCAAGGCGTCTACATCGCCATCGCCATTGCCATCGCCCCCACTCCTTCATAGACATCTTCCCGCACCGCCCCTCCTTTTGGCTATTTATGGAAAGTTTACCCCGAGATAAGGCCAGAAAAACGGCAATTTCCATGATTATTTTTGTCGCTTTTAAACTAAAAATTTTTCTAGCTGTCAGAAATTAAATGGGTAGCAAACATGTTTAGGCCAAAGCAGCTGCACCACTCGCCGGCTTTAGACTTCAGTGCTTGGGTGTTTAGTCTTCAGACTGGGCTCACTATGTTTGCGTTGTGGCTGGTGCTGGTGTTGGTGGTGCTGCTGCTGCTGCCGCCGTCGATGTTGTTGCTGCGGAGCAACAAATGTTGTTAACAAGCATATTTTGACAGCTCAACAAGATGTTGCCAGATGCGCGAACAGCAACAAGAGGAGCCACAGCAGCAGCAGCAGCAGCAGCAGCAACTATAGTTGCAACAGCAACGAGGCCATCTGCATATGCCATAAAAGGCGAAACAAAAGTAAGACAAACCATGGACTATATGGGTTTCTATATGGGGGTGACTATGGGAAAGTTGTGGCTTTCTACTCTACATATGCCTTCGCCAGCGCAATTGAAGTTAGTGTGGCGCAGAGTCCATCGCAAGCATGCATACTCGTATGTGCTGGCGTATACTCGATGTTGCTGCAGACTATGGCACTTCAGAGCGTAAAATGTGGAACACATTGTTTCCACTGCATGGCAGTCTTGTTTTTAAAAACTATTTTGTGTGCATTTTATTAAACATTGCAGTGGATTTAATGAAACACAAAGACTGAGACAGAGAGAGAGAGAGAGAGACTGAAGCACAGGCATTGCCTAGCCGCATCTATTTGCTAATTGCATTTCGTTGTTGTCGCTCCGGTGTTTGTTGTTTTGCGGCCATATACCTTTCACGCGCACTGTTCCGGTTTCTGCCCGCTTTCCACCTGTCGCCTTGGTTAAATATCGCTTTGTCGCAACTGACACAACCAAATGTCTTGTCCTTGTCCTCACCGCATAGCATAGCATTGCATGGCCTAGCATCGCATCGCATCGCATCACATTGCATCGCATCGCATGGCACATCACATCAGTTCGCATCGGGAACATCGCCGGAGTCGCAGTCACTTCAGTTCGCGGCTTGTCTATCACCTGGCCAAGGAAAATGCAATTAACGAGCACCATCAAAACGGCAAAAGCCTGCGGAATGAAAGGCACCAAAACAAATGGCTGTCAGAGTGGCAAATTGCTTTACATATTTACACGCCAAATGAGAGCGGTGAATGTGAGCTAGGTGTGGAGAAATTAACGATCTACCTGATTTTTTCTTAAGGTAAATAGAGTTTTTCGTTACAAAAACTCAATAATTAACTTACATTAATTTCTCAATTTATTTATCATAGATTGGAGTCAATTTTTAAATCCGCAAAAAAAAAATCGATCGGAAGTAATGAACTTTTATTTTTTGTGCAGATCAAGTAGTTAAATTTTATGTGCTGCAATTTAGCAGAACTAAAAGCAATGTAATTTTATTTAGGTATCCCCAATTAAAAATCAAAAATTTTTTTGTTTTTTGAACATAAATACATATTTATGTTCGATAATTTCATATCTGTTAAATGCATTTTCAAAAATTACGCATAAAATAAGGTATTCAATTATATTTGAAAATATTTTACATTAATTTAAAGCTGTAGGCTATTTAAGATGCCTTAAAACCGTTTTATAATTCATTAAAAACATAATATAGCCCCCATTTCACATTACGTTAAGCTCGACCCACAATTCACATCAAGTTATTTTGGGTAAAAAAAATCCATTCCCATTTCTCAATCAATTATTTTCCAAATATCTCTTCACTTTGTACATTTAGTTACTTGAATTGGCTTGTGAGCCATTCCATTCCCATTACGGGCCACTCTTTTAGCCAGGCTTTGTTGCAAATTTCTTCAATACTAAATGCATAGAATGCCCTCGAATTGACTCTCGGCATTGACTGCAAATTGCTGAAAAATGCAGCTTAATGAACCCTGGGTTGACATGCACAAAACGGGGCAGCCGGACAGAAAAACCCGATGCCAACATTTTCTGCCAATCACGGAGGACAACAAAAAACGGCAAAAGCGATGGAGAAGAAAGCAAAGCCAAATTGCAAGCAACCGCAAATTCAATAAATTTGAAAAGCAATTAATAACTGATTGACAAGTATTTATCTACGAGGAAATGGCGGGCGGGCGCCGGACAAAAAAGCGGAAACGGAAGTAGTGTCTGCAGCAAGGATGCAAAGAGCGGCAGGGCAGCCATGTTGGCCGGCGGAAGCCGAAACCAAAACCGGGCAAATAAGCGTAATACGCTGGCCAAACACTGAGCCAGCAACAGAAACTGAAACAGTAGCCGAAACAGAATCTAAAAATCGGGCAGATGGAGAGCTGAAGGCTCGTAGTGGAAGTGGAAGCTGGCGGGAAATGAACCCGTGGGAGCTGGCGGAAATTCAAAACCCAAAGTCAAATGGAACACAGCAATATAACGCAACACAACGAATTGACGGAGACGAGATAAAAGAGCAATCAACAATACGGCGCAATACGGCAATACGGCAACAACATCGGCAGTATCGCAACATCGCAGCATCGCAACACCAGAAAGCGGAGAGCCCAACGGGCCAGAAGACGTAGTATAAAATGTAGCGAAAACTTTGGAAAAATCATTAATAATGCTGGCCCAGCGCAATGGCATTGGTTTTCCGAAAGGACAAGCGCAAGGACATGCAGCTCTCAGCTTGCCAGCTCGCCAGCTTTCAGCCCTCCGTCAATCAAAGCGCAAACAGAAACAAAATGAATGGCAAACAGTGGCGACTCGGACGCTGAACGTTGGCCAAGTGGCGATACTGCACTCAGAAAAAATGATAATAGGTTCCATGACACCGAAAGCTCCGATTTAGTCTAAGCTTTAAAATTAAAATTATAAACCTTTGAATTTAACTTTGTCACAAACTAATTGATAAGTAAAAACGTTAAACCTGAAACCTGTTTTTTGTGTTACAATGGTTTTAAAAATGGAAAATTGCAATGTCAATTAGTTAATGACACTAATTTATACGACATAACAACAAGTTAATCCTTTTATTTAATATTATTTTTAGAAATTCTTAATTTGCTCGCAAGCGTAAGGCTTACAAATATTTGCCTTTGATTACAATTATTGAACCGTATGTACTTTTAAAATATTTACTGAAAAATATAGCAGTGTGTGGTTTTTATTTACCCGCATGCTTACACAGCCGTGGATAATCCAACAAAAAAAGTAAAATAAAAAAACGATTTACACAAAATCAAAATTGAAAGTAACATTTGTAGGAATGGCATTTCCTTAGGTGTTTGCACGCGATATACCGCTTTTTTCTCAGAGTGCCGACGACGTGGAGACAGGGCTAAATCCAACGGATGTCCATTGAAAAGGGGTCAGTAGTCAGGCTGGCGACTGTTTAGCTGCTTCTTTTGCTGCGGTCGGATGGCGATGGTAGAACAGCAGGCCGGCTAGAACAGGACATTTTAGCCCCGATGGTGATGAACACGATGATGATAATGATGATGATAGTGATAGTGAAGAAGGCATTGGCCGGCCGATGGCCACGTGCTTTTCGCCAACTAGGACGACAATGAACGCGATGATGATAATAAGAGCCATGATGATGATAACGAGGATAATGCTGACGACGATGATGATGGGGAGACATTGAGCGAGCGATGTGGAACGGATGTGCAGTTGTTGTGGTCGCCAGCAAAGCAAAGAAAAGCACAATTATTCATTTGCACAATGTCACAAAAGTGTCAGGCGGCAAAAGGAGCAAAAGCAAAGGATTCTTTGGCCATTGCCTGGGGTTGTCTTTTCCCCCAGCTTTTCGAGACAAAAGCGTTGCGA